AGAAGGTTAAAAGGCGAAAAAATTTTTGCTAGGAGTTTTTTACTTCTAGCGGCAGAGGGCAATTGAGTGTGGCCCATAGCTCAACTGAGGGTAACACTGGTGCACAAGATTTTCTGATCCTATATTGTGTCAAAAAGCAGCTGTATCAGTCCAAGCTTAATAATGCCGACAGTAGTTGCATTTGTCGGTAAGGTTCGATTTCGGCTATCACTGCGGTGTTCTTCATAATTCGTGTTTGGCAAGTAAGTTGCGCTTCGGTAGGAATCAGAGGTTCTTATGGGGAAATCGGGAAGCAGATTGGTAGCGGTTGGAAAGTGCAATTGAGAACATTGAGACTACTTTTTTCCCATATAAATCGATTTGGCCTTGAAAGTTCCCGTGGAGCGAGGAGACAGGGAAAAGGGTAAGTGGAAAAAGCCATCGTTGATTGTAGCACCTTACCAGTTCATTATTTCAAGACGAGTGCTTCTACTCAACAAGGAAGGCCTTTCGGGGCGTTGAGCCTTTTTATGAAAACGGATTGTTTCATAATATAGAGGTACGTGTGTAGAACATAAAATCATAATCACTTTCTCTGGGTGGCGCTAGGATTGCCAGAACAAAGGACAGAAAATTTTCTTAGGACGACACTTTTACATTTCTAATGAACTATACAGCAGTTTAGCGTTGAGTTATTTGAATTGTAAGCTCTGAAATGGATATTGGAAGTTCACTGCATAAGCCTACAAGGGGGAGGGAGGTCTTTCAGGGCAAGCCGCGCTTTTTGGAAACGACGGTTCTTTGCATATTGTAGGGACGCATGTATGGACCACAAAACCATGTTTCGTTTTCGCTGAACGGTTTTAGTAGTATCAAAAAAGTGGTGAATGATACCCTTGATGGTTCGATCCCCCGCGGACTAAATTTTGCAATCAAGGTTGGCGGCCACTTGTTGGCTTCAAAATGGTCCTGACGATGAATTTGACATCTGATTTTGACATTTAGCGCGATTTGGCACCAAACCGTAGGCGCCAACCCAAATGCAAAAATTTAGTCGCCACGGGGGATCGAACCTTAACAGTACCTTATGCTTCTTTTTTGGTACTGCTATAACCGTTCAGCGAAAATGAAACATGGTTTTGCGTTCCCTACATGCGTCCCTACAATATGCAAGAAACCGTTTTGAAAAGCGTGGCTTGCCCTGAAAGACCTCCCCTTGTTAGAAAAAATACAGCAAGAACTGAAACTCAGACACGGACACTGAAAAAATTTCTCTTCAGGGGATCGAAGCCAAACCTTGGTTTCAACGTTCACTCGGCATTCCAGATCCCATAGTCGCCCAGTAAAAAAAATGATCTTCAGTTTTGTGCTCTCTGCTCGTGTTTCTATAACAATGCAGGGAAGCGTTTGGAGAAAGCGCTTCATATCCTGAGAGACTTTCCTGGTCAGTATTTTCAGTTAGAAAAAAAAGAAAAAATGGTGCTAGTTGAGAGCCAACAATACATATTAGCGTGCCTTTCGATATCAAACGAGGTCGTAGACGAGGCGTTGAATCAAAGGCGAGCTGATCATTGCTGCTATAAATGCATCCTGAATTTTTTTTACGAGTCGAGGCCCGTTGATGTGAACCTCACTTGGAGATCAGGACAAGTTAATGGCTCAGCAGGAGGGCTAGCCAGAGTAACACTTTCATGTCGTTATCTCTAGTTCATTGTATCTGGCATTCGATGGCTGACTACTATTCTGGTATTCCACTATATTCTCTTATTTCACTATATTCCACTGGCTATATTCTCTATTCAACATATTTTATATTCAGTATTTTATCTTCTATATTTTATCTTTTTTTATATTATTTGGATATGAATAGTAGAGTATAGGAGTTGTTACCGATCGCATTTTCATTTATGACATCTCAATATTGCTCATTTCATTTTGACACTTGTCTACAGTCTTTCGGAGTAATTTGAGTTGGACACTTCTCATCGCCGATAATGGTCCTTCCTTCAGACAACAAGGGCGGGATTTAGTGCTTGTGCCTTTCCTTATGGTAACTTACCCCACTCATTACTTCTGCTATACAGCGATAGAGATTTCTATTCTCGCTCTTCTCTTGTTAGAAAGTATTCGGTGAAGATGTTGTTTGGGAGAGGCCCTACCTGTAAAATTGAAGTGCTATAGAGAGTTCGAGTGACTGAGAATAAATTCGACTAACAAAAGAAATGAATCAAAACTGCAAAATGATCAAACAAAATCTCCCCAATACCTGAACGCCTCTTTCCATTACTCGCCATCCATGAAAGCACCATTTAGGCAAGACGCATTTCTCTTCTACCCTTATCGCATCGTGTTTACAACAGAATACCAACAGGACAAAATGTGTACGACATCATACTTTATTTGCAAGTCTTACAATCCAACGGTTGGGAACTAAGAAAACAGAAACACAAGAAAACAATGAGACCACGCGATGAACTTTCAGGAAACAGTAACAATTTCGAAATCAGTTACACAGCCATACAATACAATACACTGGAACATTACTCCGTAGTTAGTTCGTTCTGCCCTCGACTGAAATGGTATATTAATATTACAGCAATCACAATAAGCAGTTCCGCTTTCACAAAACACGACATAAATGGAAGTTGAAGGATAAAACTCACTATAGGTAGAAACATCAATTGTTTCTGGCAGCTCCGTAATGCTGATGTCGAACCTATCCTGCACACTGTTAAGAGTTTTCGCGTCAGCCTCGTCCGACACGAAACTAATGGCAAGTCCTTTGGTTCCGAATCGACCCGCTCGAGCTACCTAAAACGAGAAAATGATTTTGCTCAAAAGAGGGCAATGATAAAACAATCATACCCTATGAAGGTAAGAGTCTGAATCCTCGGGCATATCATAGTTGAAAACGATGTTAACTCTTTCAATGTCCATCCCTCTTCCGAACAAATCAGTCGCGACCAAAATACGTTTCTAAACAAGGAGTTGAAATTACGTGTCTAGACTGAAAACACCCTCACCCAGAAAAACCCACTAAAAAATCATCAAACCTGGAAATCCTTGAAGGCTTGATAACGTGCAAGACGCTCTTCCTGTGGCATCTGCCTATGAATGGCTATAGAAGGGAAATTCTGTTCAGAAAGAAGCTGGTGGAGCGCGCCACAGCGCTGTACCGACTTCACGAAGATAACCACCTGTAAAAACCGGTTTGACAGTACTTTGGCTAAACGAACGGGAAAATCCAATTGCAAACCTGGTTGAATTCGAGGAGATCTAAGAGCTCTAACAATTTCCTGTTCTTCTCAGTTTCCTTCAATTTCACATAATGCTGTTGTAGACCGTGCAAGGTGAGCTTTGCTTCGTCATCAACATAAACTTCCATAGGCTGCAACAGATAAGAGTGATGAAAAACAAATCGACACAGCTTATGAACTTCAAGTCCGTTCAACTGTAGGCGCACGATGCAAAAACGGATGTCGATAGGACATCGAGGGACATACACCGGTCACCCATGGATGCCTCAGTTGCATCTCAGGTTGCCCTTGAGCATGGCGATGATAACATCTTCAGCACCAATGATGCCGGTCCTCCGGAAGAGACCACAAACAACGAAAACGCAAAAAGCGTTCCTGAAAAGGAAAACAATTATACAAAAACGCTTCATCGAAAAAAAAGAAAGATGCTAAGGCAACTTACCGTGCGTAATCTCTTCCTCACGGTTTGCCGCATGACTCTGCACTGCGGTGGGGGAATCCAGAGAACGAGGATGCGTAGCTTACATCTTGCATGAACTTCTTGCAGACGATGCGCAGCTCCTTCGGAAGTGTGGCGGAGAACATCATCACTTGCTTTTCCTGTGGTGTCATCTTCACGATCTCTTGTACGTCACGGCGCATATCTGAACGAGTAACTCACTCATCAGCTCTGATAATCCTGAAAATTTCTTTTAAGAAAATATCAAACACACTTACCAGCATCCCCGATCATTTTGTCACATTCATCGAGCACGAAATACTTGATTTTATCAAGCTTCAGTTTTCCAGATCTTGCAAGAGCAAGGGTTCGGCCAGGTGTCCCCACTACTATATGAGGACAGTTCGTGCGCAGTAAATCCTCGTCCTTCTTAATAGGCATACCACCAAAAAATACTGCCACCTAAACGTTACAATTGATTATCAGGTACGATGTACTGAGTAAGCAGGACAAGTTCACCACTCACTTTGATGGCAGATAGGTACTTGCTGAATCTCTCGTATTCCTTCGATATTTGGAAAGCGAGTTCACGAGTGTGACACATGACCAATACTGACACCTGCAACGCACAATTTAGGATCGCTGATATTCTACTTTGTGAAATTTTCTCGTACCTCTCCATCAACGGGTTCCAACTGCTGAAGGGTAGCTAAGACAAACACAGCTGTCTTGCCCATACCAGATTTAGCTTGACAGACAATATCCATACCCAAGATTGCCTGCGGTATACACTCATGTTGCACTGAAAAATATAAGATTGCAAAAAACAGCAATTAACACTGAAAAACCCAAAACCTTTTTAATAATCTACTGAGAACATTGGAAAAGCGTGTTTTCCTGCAAAAAAAGAACGCGTACCGCTCCCATAAAATTACATATTAACGGGACAAATAAATATAGAATGAACTGTCTTTCTACAGTTTATTCAGTTCCTTTTCATAACAGCATCCCAATGCACAAATTGTTTAGATGAACCATCACAAAAACAGCTGCACCAGTTGATGCGTCATGAGATTATTTGCAAGATTCTCATAAACTGATCCACAGCAATATTAGACCACGATTAGGACGAAAAATCGCTCCTCAATCCAAACAGAACAGAGACCCCGTCCGATATGAAGGCGCGCAATGTCTCAGTCTTTATCACACTGGCTCATAGCACTTGTACCGCGAAGACTACAATAACCTTCTGGACGCCCTGAGTAAAGAGAGCTCGTTGGACTTAAACACTGGCTCTGCACAGTTCTAAGCAAACAAGAGCAAACGTCTTCCCCCTGCTCACCCTTGCAATGCACATGAATTTCCATACCCGCACCAATCAATTTTATCCGGTTCTTCCCAATAATACAGTTTCCAATGTGTACTGTATAGTTAACTGCACAGACCATACACAAATCGATGCCGCCTCCTATTACACTCTATTATAGATTTTACTTCTCCCCTTCTTCCAAGCACCCCTTCATCTTCTTCAGTTCACACGGGGTAGAACACTATAGCAAAATAGGTGTGGGGAAAAGCATTTTGGGCAAAACATCTAGAACCCCAGTACTTTTTGCATATTAGAGTGTAAAAGAATCATTCAGACACGACCATGATCACCCATCTAATTCCACATTCCCATAGCTAGCGCCTTACCTCAGGGGGGGAGATGGGAAAAGCAATAGTTTTCAATAACGAGCTAGGATTACAGTATGTCTCACGAGGAAACAAGGGGCCGGGTGCAGCAAGCCAACTCGGGAATGGGTCCCCAAAACTGCATCTCTGGACTATTTCCCTATTCTTGACCATGACGGTTGCGTTATCGACAGAGTAGCCTTTAAAAACGATCATTTTCATTTCTTCAAATCCTTGGATAAAAATTAGTTCATCCAAGCATGCAGAGATGGTGATTAATTCTCACCTTCAGATGGATGCTCAAATCCGCAGTCGATGATGGCTCTCAAGAGCTCTGGCTTGAGAAGGAAGTCTCGGAAACCACTGCTGTGGATTGAAGCATAATTACCCTGGAAAAATTGAAGTAATGTCAAAGTAAATTTTTCTCCAGGCTTTTACATACCTTGATCTTTTTGGCGTCTCCAGATCCATTCTCAGCAGCCTTGGGCTCATGAGTTTCCTCCTGTTCCTCTTCGTAATCGAGAAGTTGTTCGTCATCCATGTTTTATCTACAAATACAACTTACAGGAAAGTTAAGCGAGAGGATGATTAAAAACGATAGAAGGGAAATACTTCATGGCGCTCATGCCCTGGGGGTAGACATTCGAGGGAATGAGCCACTTGCAAGCTTAAAACTAAGCCTTAATCAGGGGAAGTGATTCTGAGAGAAAATGTGAGCAATTTGTGGTCTTACTGGCGTTTTCCCATTTCCTGGGCTTACTCCTAGTGTCCCTAACATCAACCCTGCTTTGAATTCCCCAAAACACCTCCCAAAGTCATGAGCGCCTATTTCGCAATCAAGCGAACTAATTCACGGCAAAAATTCTACAAAGATCTTGCTTAAGAAAAACGTCGCCAAATAACACTTGTGATAAAAGCAAGTCACACAAGCTCATAAATCTCAGAGCAAGTTCAAGATCACGACAAAAGGTGAAAGAGATATAAACAAGTAACAAATGACACTGCAGTAAGCAAAACGGCGGCCACTCAGCCACCCACATCGACGCCACGCGGCAAATCGAAAGCTGCGCGCCGCAGAGCCGTCCACGTAGGACCCGCCCTTCGTTGCAGGAACAGTCTGCCATTCTCAAGGTCGGGTCCTTCACACATCACAGATCATCGATATTACTGGTGCGCTGGTATATTGCGGTAGAACCATAGGACGTAACGTTACTTCAGGGCCTTGGAATGCCATAAGATTCACGTGGTATTCGACCACGGTATCAATTAGGATGCAACAACGTCACGAACAAGAAACAGAGTAGCGTCTTTGACAGCGAATAAATATTCATCATGTTCAAGTTGGCAAGGAGAACACTTGGGGGTCGGGAAATACAATTCAGACTTTCCTACAGGGGTGAATTTCATCGTTTTTCTTATTGATTTTACTGCATAGAGTTGAAAAAGGCTGCTGCTGCAATACGAGAATTTTGCTTCACTGATCCCGCCACTTTAGTTAACCAGCAAAATGAATAGCAATGAAGACGTTTGGTATAAAACATCCCTTCTATACCTACAATTCACTTTTGCGTGGAGAGAATCAAAATGAGCGCTGTTGCCCTAGGAAAGGGAAGCATATTTGTGCAAGGCAAGCCAGGATATGAGAATTTTTGCCAAACCTAGAAGCAGTGAAGAAGCTTCGGAGGGCATGAACCGCTTCTCAGGAAATGCAAAAATCCCTTCCACAAGGAAATTTGTTTATCCACCTCGGAGCTTTTCGGTGCTAACTTAGTTGGGGGGGGGACCAGTTTGTCTGCTCCCCCAAGGCTTAGTCCATCGATGACGCTCATTTCGAAACTGCC